GAAGATGAAGTGGATGGAGCTTTAGTGAGTGGTGTGTGACCCAGTGCTCAGCGCCCACGGGTGTCAGGTGGACCTAAAAAAATGCCCCTTTCTCAAGAGAACATCTGTGATGTAGGAGAAAAAAAGACAAACAGAAAAATTAGGAAAAGGAGAAACAGAAGATTACTTTGTACTGGGGGAAAGCAGTAGACATATTTTGTTCTTTTATTGTATTCATTTCTGCAGAAAATGGGGCTGCCATAGGAAGCATAGTGGGGAGCACAAAGTCTGCGTGAATGTTGTGTTGTCCTTGTCAAAACCTGTCCCCATCCCCTGCTAACGCGGTGCCACCCACCAGGGTCCTCAGGTTGACGGGAGAGGCTCTAGGTCAGAAAACGGCCCCGGGGAATTCGCAGTTACCAGGTGCTGTGTTTCACATCCCTGACATTTGACTCAGAAGCATCGAGCCCGCGGACGGTGATCCACGGGGACCGCGAAGCAGCGATGTGGTTGAAGAGCTTAGTGTGTAATTTGGCATTGAAAATTCACGTGTGAACTCGGAGAAGTGCACTGTGTAACCACAGGAGTGCTGAACCACGAGAAGTTGCTGTGACTTGGGAAATCTTTACGTTGCCTCTCTGCGTTACATCTTTGATGCTCCGTTAGCAGTTCTTGAGCTAGCTTGAGGCACCCACAAACTACCCCGGTCCCTTTGCCTGCAGTGAAGATATGCCCAAGGCCACGAGCTTCAGCATTTCCCAGGAGCGTGCTGCCCTCATACGAGACGCTTGCGAGGAGTTGAACCAGTGTAACTTTAGCTCTTGTCCCGTTGGCTTAGGTGACCCTGGTATTATAAATCTGGGGAGGTGTAGTGTTATAGGGTTATCTGAGTTTTGAGGGGCGTCCAATGCGTAACATGATCTTGCCATGGCAGAGAGCCTGGGAACTGTGTGCGCTTTCCTTTCCAAAGCTCCCGTGGTTGGATGCCCTTCAGGACTTCGCGCGTGGGGCGCGTGTCGCTTTCCATAGGGGAGAACCTCAGACTAGCACAACCCCAGACCCGCTCCGCAGCCATGGCGATGCTCGGGGCGCCAGAGGTGCCCGCTGCGTTGGTGCTTGCTTTAGGTTCGGGGGGAAGTTCCCTTTCTCCAGGCTCGCTGTCTGCGGAATGCGTTCTGCAGGGAATATCATCACACTCATAAGGGAAATGCGCTCCAAGCCTCTCCGCCGGACTGCAGCGATCCACTCGGTCCTTATTGGCAAGTGTAATATGGAGGGCTGTTGTGTAATTTCCTCCGTGTACATTTGTGAGGGGAATTGGGTTTAAAAGCACAAACCTTTGCTGCTTGAATAAAAGCTCGCTGTCAGCAGGCAGGCTCTTCGAAAGGACAAAGGAAAGGGTTTTTTTTGGAAGGTTTTTTTTGTGGGCTGCGGGTTTGTTTGGTCAATGCAGCATCCAGCTGAACGGAGATGGTAGTTTCCAGGTCTGTGGGTCCAGAAGCAATTCCTGTGAGCCTGGGGCAAGGAAACCCTGCAGTAAGAGCTAGAGAATATCCACTGCCCCCTCCGAGGCTCTTTAGCTGGTGAGATGGACAGCTTAGTAAAGAGCCTGAAGACGCTGACATTAAGAGGGGCATTCAGAGCATAAAGGCAGCAAAACAGATCAGATTAGTAGGTTAAGCACTAATAAAGTGATATAAAGCAAGCAGGGAAGCAGGTACAACTTGTCACAGAGTTGCAGCATGTGCCAAAGCAGCGAGGAAAGTCGAGTCAGCGGAGACAGCTTTTCAGAGAGGAAAAACACAAGTTCTGGCCTTTGGCATCGTCCTTTCTTGGAGGAAGCCTTATAGAAGAGGTGGAGACAAGAAGTGGGGCTCTGCAGCACATGTGCAGGCAAAAGGCACGTCAGCTTGAGCACTGGGCTGCATGACAGCGACACGAGCCCTGTCCTGCACGGGGACCTTCATGCGGCGGCGGGAGGCATCAAGATGTGATCGCTGCCATCGTCATCCTCGCTAGGAAAGGGCGCCGCGGCGCCAGGACGTGCCACCTCCTCCCTTCTCCTCTCGGGCTCGGAGCAAGGCAGGAAAATGGTCGGATTTTCTGTTTGCTCCAGCCCAATTTTCAAGCGCAGGCATGGACGCAGTGTGGAACTTGCTCCAGGGTTCAGCGCCTCTTTGTTTCCTATCGAGGAGGTCGTTTCCATCAAGGGGGGCTTTGCTTCTCAGTGGAGGAGGATGATCCATTGAAGAGGATGCAATCTCCTTGTTTATTGAAGTGCTATAGACAAGAGGAAAGAAAATAGCAGAGAGTTAGAGAATTGAGCAGGTAGGACAGGTGGAAAATGCTTTGAGCACTGGAGAAAAGGGGTGTCCAGCCTGTTCAGGAGGTGATGAGCCACCTTGACTTGTGATCTGAACATTTTCTCATAATTCTGCACTGAAGCAGAGGCCACTTCTTTGCTGTTCTCATTGCATCTGCTGAAGCCAACGGAATGGGACTATCGGTGTAGGAAATGATGCAGCTGGCAGATGTTGTGCGTTCGGCTGGCCTTGCTTTTTGCCCTGGTCATTCTAGGCTCTCTTCTCATCTTTACCGCTCCTGCTCTTCAAGCTCTCTCAGACCATTGAGGTCCTTGTTCCGTATGATCCGAAATCAGGTTTCAGCTTTGACAGGTGTCTTTATAGCTCAGGGCTGACACCTTCTCTTAGGCAGCAGCCTCCTGTGAATGTCTTGGAGAGATTTCAGAAGACATAAATTCCACGGGCACACACAAATCAGCGCAGCAGAAATGTTAATTACTGCCACATCTCAGTTGCTGAGTCTGTCCTTAATGGGTTGAACAAGTTTTGCCTGCTGTGAGTTTTTTTTAATTTTCATTTCTAGATAAATTATCAAATGACTTTAACATTTGGTGGTTGTGCATACAAAATAATGAGAGGTTTTTTTCTTCCTTATACTTCTTTTCTGAAGACATGCTAAAGAATCAGACAAAATTTAATATCATTTATAAATCTCAAATATTTTCTGGCAGGGTTAATTTATTTATTTATTTATTTATTTATTTTTTTGCCAAAAGCATCATCCTTGTCATTTCCAGCAGAACTTAACATGGAGCTGGTGTCAGCAGAAGGACATTTGTGCAAGTCACAGAGGGGCTGCAAGACACCGTGCGCCAAAGTCCATACAGGCAGCGAGGGGTTTGTCAGCCCTGTCTGCAGAAACTCATCCTTTATCTGCCCACATAATCTCCGTGTGCTTAACTGTAACTGGGAAATATAAGAATATAATTGCAGATTATCATGTAGACTTTAAAATGCCGAGGATGTCAATGATGACACTTGCTTTGGAATCAGGCAGAGGGCAGGATCCTCTAAATGTGACTCCAAAGCTGATTTCTTTGGTTCTGATAGCCATGCTGGGGCTGCCCTTCTCCTCAGACTGGCTGCAGGAGCTGCACCATGCCCCGGTGCAAGGAACATCACCTGCGTGTCCGTAAATTCGGTGCCCTGGTCCTGATGAATTCCAGCACTGTTTGCTTTTTACACCTTTCCTCATTCCCGAATATCTGTCCTCTCAAAGCTAGCAGACCAGAATCAGACCAGAACGGCAATGTTCCCTCGCCTTTTAATGCCTCTTTCATTTCCCTATCCTGTCCCTCCTATCGATAGCAAGAACTGCATGGAAAACTGAGCCGTGGGACTCTAAAGTGATGGCTGGAGTGTGCCAGCGTAGTGCAGGAGCAGTCCCTGTTTGGAGACCATTCTGCAGAGACAAGTGCCTTCAAATGCAGTGGAGCTGGCACCACTTCCAGGGAACTGGAGGCGACAGAAGTGTCTATCCACAGCAGAGCACGTGGTCCCCAAGGACTCGGGAAAGATGCACCTCATCGCATCCACTCGTTGGTTATATGCACTTTATCCTATCCACTCATTGCTGCTCTTGGTAAGTCTTGCCTGGGGTGTTTCAGATGGACATTGGTTCTTCCCATCGTTCCTTTTCCCGGGGAGGACTCGGCATCCCTTCTGCCCCCAGCTTGCGATGGACATCTCCACGCTCCTGTCATTCGTCAGTGCACGACCTTGTTCTTTTTAACTGAAATTGAAGGGATTAAAAAATTCCCCGTTTGCTGCATGGAAATGGTGAGGCCAAGGGCAACTTCTTAGCTCCTTGGTGCCTCGCTGGACAAGATCTGCTCAGCTGCACAAGTGAAAAGTTCTCTTTGCTTCCCTTGCTGACAGTGAGAAAACGGCAATAATAACCTAAGGGAAAACCCCGTTTGCTGCATTCTGCTTCCCCTGCCTTTCCGTACCTTGCTGGGATTTCCTATTATCACCGAGTCAGGAGCAGATTTCTAGCCCGCAAGGATGATTAATTTCCATTTTGCACCTTGCTATGATCCCCAAGCAAGCCAGCCTGCCCACGCTTCTTGATGACCAAGCGAGCATGAAAAACTCTGCGCTCAGAGCAGAATTTCCAGGTGGCAAAGAAAGCCTGACACGGTGTCGCAGGGAGCATCCTGCAACGGGAAAACAAGATCAACACCTTTCCCTTGCACTGACCCCGCTGCTGGGCTCCTCCAAGGGCTGAGTGCTGATTAATGGCCCATGCTGCTGATTTGGGGTATATTCTTTCCATTATTTTGCTCCTTCAGCAGAGGCATGCCTTAGCAGTTTAAACATTTTAGGTTTGCTACTGTGGGAAGGAAACAGCAGCTTCTAAAGCTTATAGGGCTATTAGCCTTATTAAGTTGCAAGACTTTGCATGTGCTTGATATGTTTTTCCAAGCAGACACAGAGAAGCCCAAACCAAAGCAGCAAAGGGATGCAATGCAGCAATTCTCCCTTAATAATGCCAGCAGGAGGGAAGACACCCTTGTCACTGGGCAAGTAGAAACTGTTGCTAGTTTAGACCCCAAAAATACAGATTTTTGTGGGCTGGGGATGTTTATCATGGTTATTAATGGTTCCTGTGAACCTTGCCTGAGATCAGGGCCTCACCTTGGGGGCTCTCCAGGCAGAAGAGAGGACAGAAATGTCAATTGCCACTTGTTTCTGTTCCCTCTAAACTTGAAGTGGGAATATCTGGAATGCATCTACATTGCAGCAAACACCTTATGCATACAAATACAGTTGTGTAGGTTGAATTGCATCTAGAATAGCTAGAAAAAATCTAATCAAACACGGAGATGAAAGGTGATATATTTGAGTAGTCCTCCTGTTGTGATAAAAAGTAACTAATTTTATGGTATTTCTGTGTTTTTAAAGTATACAAATCAGGATCAGTAATGTCTCAAGCACTCCTGTCAGCATCACTGAAATGTGAATCTGCCTCATGTAAGAGCAGTTTGTGGTAAAAACTTTTCATAATGTGGATTTTTCTCTGCAATTTTGCAGGAAAAAGAAAACACATTCCTTGCCTTTTCCCCATGACAGTAAGATCATGAGGACAGCAGTTTGTCATAGGTGACATTTGCGACTTTTAAGCAGGAGCTCTAAGCAAGTTAAACAATTTTGTTATAGATAAAGTCATCATAAGAAACTAGATGATAAAAATAATTTTCATAGACTATCTCATCAAACAGGAAGGGCAGTTTGGTCACGCATCTATTTGTCCATGAATAAAAATCTCACAAAACCTGCACAATTTCAATGAGTTCTTCACAGGAAAAAGAAAATTATGGTAGCTATTAAAAGGTGAGAGAGACAGACATTACGTAACTACATCAGTCTCAAAAATAATTCCAAATCCTGAGGAAGTGTTAAAAATAGGTCATATTGTGATCATTTATAACACGGACAGGAATGACATACAGAGAAACCCTCAGATAAGCATAGATTTCCTCCTCCTGTTCAGACCAGATGCTATTGATTTTGCAAAGGATGCTGGAGACTTGCTGTCACGGAGGTCTCCCCCGTTCCCACTTGCCATATGAAGCACCTGGACAAGTTTATTTGCTAATTTTGCTCTGAATGTGACCAAAGTTGATGGGGGCCAGAGACGTGGCTGCAGGCAGAGTTGTGTTTGGCCCAATCCCTTGTGTTTCCAATGAGCTGCTCTCCTGCATCTTTTGCTTGGCCTCTACAGCCCACAAAGCGCCTCCGAAGGATGCGATAAAAGTGGGAGAAGGAGGTGCTGACCAGGCATGAAGGAAAGCCACTAAGAACTCATGCAATTTGAATTTATTAATAATAATGCAAAAAAAAAAAAAAAAAAGTCAATTTACCAAAGGTTGTGCAGAGTGGGTGGTACAGCCCCACGTTGAACCTGGGTATCCTGAACTTCAGGAGTCTCCTCTCATCCCTTGTCTTTCACAGAGAATGTTCTATGAAGGTTAATTTTATATTAAAATGGAGTTAACGAAAGGCAGATACAGTGGAAACCGATGCTTAACATTGCAGAATCCAACCCAAAGTGCTTTCCATTGTACCAGAAACATCGAGCTAATCCGCTTATCTGCTGGAGTTGGAGGTTGCGTGTGTGTCGGGACGGGATGTTCAATTCCAATGAAAGGATTTTCTCTCTGAATAGAAGGACATATACTGAATATGCAAATAGTCAAATGTTCTCCTGACAGTTTTTATAAATGCATTGCTTACTACGGTGTTCAAATCAGCCTAATTTCGTCTGGAATTTCTATAGCTCTGTTGGTCCTGAAGGATCCTAAAGTACTGCAGCAGCAATGGCAAACATGTACATTTTAGAAGTCAGTTAAGACTCCCTGGATTCTATCAAACACTGACATGACCAGTACCATCTTGTGCAGCAATGAAAAACGTTCAAACATTTTATTGGCTGAAATGGTGACTTTTTCTCTAAAAGTGATAAAGGATCTTAAATGCCACTGTGATTCTTCAGGCCTCATCTGAAGACCTCATTGTGTTCAGCTTCCTGGAGTTAATTTCAGCTGCATCAGGAGGCCCAATGTCCTAGTCAAAATCACCCTAATTTATAGCAGCTCCCAAATCTTCCAGGAGTGGGAAAGCGTTTCCTTCCAGAGCACCCGTATCTTCACTTAGATTAATTCACCTTGAGTTTTGCCAGTGAGGACAAGTCGAGCACAAGCTGGCCACATGCCCCACAGCTATGCATCATAATGTAATAATATATATAATTATAATAGTATGTTTTATATATATGCATGTATGTATGTATGTGTGTATATATATGCCTATGCATGTAAGTATATATAAATTTCTCTGAGGAACTTTCCCCTCTCATTGCATTTTGACTGTTTTTCCCTTGCAGCCAGTCTTTGTAGGGTGTTCATATGATCTCTTGTAGTTGGCACCATTTTTGAAATGTGTTTTTGGACTCTTTAGACCTTTGACCATATCTGTGCAGATGATACAGCCTGAACAGCCAACCTGCTTGAGAGACATTTTAATGGGACGTTTTAAATGAAACCAACTGGTGATTTTGTGATGGCAGCTGAACGCACCTTCTTGCCATTTTTCCTGTTTAACAGGAATAAAAGGCCAAACATGGACCAATTAGTCATAATGAAATCAGCTTTGATGACATTTTCGCTCCTGAACTCTGGTATAAAAATGGTCATCCAAGGAGGAGCTGAAGGGACATGTGAGGAGTTTGGTAGTACAACTGCACATGCATTGCTGCGCTCCCGAGCAAAAAATGATCAGGTAAAGACGCGTCCGGGGGCTTATGTACATATAGACTTCTAGCTTTGCTTGGCTTTGTTTTAAATGTAAACTGATTTCCTTTTTTCCTTGAAGTCTATGCAGATCAAATCTTGTTTTCATTCTTTGGATCTCAGCAATATTCATGTGCTCGGGTTACCCAGTTGTCCCTTCCCTGGTAAGTCCTAGTCCCTGCTTACTTGAAGGTCTCATATTTCATTGTCCTTACCTAGTTATTTTGTTAGATTAATATTTTTAATTAATCATAAGAAGCTTCTTATATTAAAGCTATGGGATAAATATTATTATCTAATTTTCCTGGAATATAGCTCCTATTTTCCTTTAATTACTAATAAAATATGCAAGCTTCTAAAATAATAATGTGAGAAATCCACTGAATATTTAATTTAGAGTGTGGGGAGCTCTTGCAGAAATCGAAGTGCTTTATGGAAAAGAGAAAAACACCAGTCATCCATTTCGGCATCGTTCTTGGCTATCTAAAATAGATACAATAATCTAGGTATGGTTCTGAGATTAATTCACTGCTAGCTAGTTTGTATACTGCTACAACTGAACAGATTAACCATTTTTATTATGTGTATAGGTGAAGAGCACAGAAGCGCTGTTGTTGTCTCATATAAGATTATGAAAAATCATTCCCTAGGATCAGGGATATGAATTTGATTGAACCATGAAAAGGAGCTGAACGGTCTGTAAAAGAGAAGCAGCCAGGTTATTTAAAGCAAAGAGCACTAATATTGTTCCAGGGGCTGATCTCGAGCAAATGATGGTGACAGACAGACAACGTAGGGCTCCAGGACCCTGCGAATGCGCTGCGGCTCGCGCGGCTCCCGGGAGCATCCCAGCCGGGCTCGTTGCAGCAACAACATGATAGGGAAAATGCGTTTAATTATTTAGCACAAATCACTGCCTTGCGCAGAGACGTAGCACGTACATTAGCCTGCTTATTCAAGGGCACAAATCCCAGCCGCGGCAGCGGCTCTGAAGGGAACTTCCCTGTGTTTCTGGCAGAAAGTATTTCTACATGTCAGGGAGAAACCTCAGCTTGGAGGAAACAGCCCAAGAAGTGGGAAAATAAGGCTGCATGGTTAGGAGCTTGTGCAGAGCCCTTAATAAAAATATTAATAAAAGCAGTAGCAAGCTGAATTATAGCTCATCTTAGTAAGGCATAGTGTGTATGTTCCTTACACCAGCTTGTAAATCATGATAGGATAAAAGATGTACCTAACAACTATAGATGTGTCAAGAAACATTTGAGTTTAAATTCAATGTTATTTTAAATGCAATTTCAATTTGTGTGGTTTTTATGTAGTTTATGCCTTTCTGTAACGTCAAGTTACAAGGAGCATAAACATAATGCTATATGGATTTTACTCGAGCTTTCTCGCAAATCCACTTCCCCTTTGTCATTATTAACTCTAGTCATAACTGCTGCAATAACTCACTGTAGCTGCTAGAAACCCTTCTCCCCCAAATTTCTGCTTCCATTTTCTGTTATCTGTCACTAAGACGAGATGGTTTCACACGGGTGCTAAACGGGTGCAGTTGCATTGTTAACCAAAAACTCTCCTTTTACACAATAAACAGGCATGGTATTTGGGGGACCTACGTTACCTGCCACAGCAGGTCAATATCATGGAAAACAGCTCCTAAAGTAACAGTAACTGCGGCTGTATTTTATATCACAAATGCAGCAGTTAGTTAGTTACTTCTTCTGTAAAGCTATGAAAAAAACATGTGATTTTGTCTACAATGAATCCCTAGCAAATACTAGGTCATCCTTGTCATTCTAGGCATAAATTGTTTTTGTGTTTCTGCTTTGCCTTTTATAGTGAACAAGTCCTGGCAAATGCATGAAATTATAATTTTATTTTTTATTTTTTTTAATCTTCAGAGCAGTAATCCTTTTTATTCGAATTGCCAGCTGTATGGGAAATCTGATTACTGCCTCGTCCTGCTGAGTAACTGCTTAGCCAAGGCGGACAGGAGCGAAGAACGGGTTTTCCCGACGCCTCACCTGGAATCACCTTTCAACAAGAGGTCCTTTCGCAACGGGGTTGGATCAGGAATTAAAAAAACTTCCTTTCGAAGAGCAAAGTCATAAATAAGTGTTCGAAACCCAGCTCTTAATTTTAGCACCTGATGTTTAACTCTGTGTTTAAAATCATTTCCAGTGTGGTTTCTTTTTTTTTTCTATGATAAAACTGGTGGGGAGAAACATGTGAGCATCTTCATCCCACACCCAGATGTTTGCTGTTAAGACTGTAAGCCAAGTGAAACTGATGGAAATGTCAGAGCTGGCTTTAGTTCCTGAGTTAGAGCATTGGGAAGCTTTGCACTGGAATGCATGTTTTCCTTTGGCTAATTCCCCTTATTTTTTCCATTAAAAAAAAAACTTTTAAAAAGTCATTTGGTCTGTAGATATGTAAATCTTTTCTGTAGGAAAGGTCACCTGCTGAGTTGCATTTGTGTGAATTTCGCCTTGCGGATGTGTCCCCAAAGCAGCGTAGCGAGCTGTAAGCGTCGGTGCAGAGTGTCTGCATGATGTGTTTTGAGTTCAGAGCAACAACAAACCAGCACACGGAGCCTCTCTAATATTTCCCTAATCAACATGTTGAGATGAGGGAGATCTTGTTGCTGATCTTCGGCTGGGGGACCTGGTACTCCAGCATCTAGGTCACTTATTCACACATCTCTTGTTCAGATGACACTTAGGGACCTTTAGAAATTGAGACCTTGAGAAATCTATAAGGGAAATGGTGGATAATTATTATTCTTATGCAGTTTGATTTGTGCAATTTAGTTTGACTTGTGTAATTTCCAGGTGAAAGGGACCCCTGGATCAGTTAACTTCTTTCTGCAGACAGCTGTGTTTCTGCCTTGGCAACCTATGATGAACCCGACTATCTGCAAGCCAACAGAACCATACGTGAAGCTTTAAAAATTGCAAAAAAAAATATTTGTTTTCATTTATTTTGCAAATATACGACCAAATCCTGCAGTGAAAGGTAGTGAGCCTCTATCCTGCTTGCAAAGATCTCCAGCCCCTTTTTAAAAATCTGGGCTTCAAGAAAAAGCCCATTATTTATGATTTAGTCAGTCCCTGTGAAACCACCTTGCCTTAAGACACCTCTGCATATACAAAAAGAATATTCTGCTGGCAGGCAACCAAGCGCCGTAAATCTTGCATTCACCCCGATCACACAGAGCAGGAGCCCACGTGGCTGATGCTCACACCCTCCCAAAATGCTCTTTCCCAACCCTAAGTCTGGCTTTATTTAGTATGAAGTGTCACCTTCGTGATCTCTGGCAGCAAATAAGGATCTGAGGGTGCCATTGCTAAGCACATTAATTTTTATGCTAATGGAAATGGGAAACCTGGCATAGGCCTTCTTTTTCAGTGCAAAGAGGAGAATACAAAAGTCAACAGCAATGCTGGCTTGTAGCATAATTAACATGCTTCAATAAATTGCTTTCCATGGAGCGGAGACGCATTTATCTGTGAAAAGGCATGTTGTTGACTTCCTTTTCTATTTTTTCTTAGCTAAAGTAAGAGAAAGAGAAATGATGAACATGTTTAGGGGGCAGGGAGAGGGATTTTTGCCCAGGTCCCTTTGTCTAGGGACTGAGGAGCAGGTCTGGAAGCCAGGGATGCCCAGACGGAGCTCGGCTATGGGTGTAGTTCTGTATGTAAAGAAGTAGGTGGGTTTCTTTATTTCTACTCAATTATTTCTCCAGCTGACAAACATGAAACTATGTTGATCAAGGCATCTCCAATGAGCAATGTCACAACTGATGGGTTCGTGGGAGTTTTTTGAAGCTAACAAGGTGTTGGTGACCAAAGGGTGGTCTCCACCAAAGAAGATGGGGAAAGATGTGATCTCCCCTCCTGCTTCTGCATAATTTCTGATCTCAGCCCTGGCTTTGGCACCCATCACCTGCCCAACAAGCCTGCGCTCCCATGGGGTGAGCCCTGCTCTACAGCAGGCTCAGTGCAGGAAAAGCACAAATCCAGCAAAACACAAACAAGCCAAGTCTGCCTGAACACAGCCGGAGGAACATGGTTTCTTCCTTCACCACAGATTATTGGCAAGGAAGGGAAATAGATAACCTGATGTAATAGCATCTAATTTACCCGTGAGATTGAAAATTAGTTGTCTTAATGAAATACCAATACCTGGTTTTCTGATTACCAGGCATATATTAAAGAAATTCTTTTTTTCCTATTTAGATTTCCTAATTTGCTATTATATGTCTGCAGATGGTAATGTATTCACTTAAACTACTGAAAAGAAGACAGGAAGAAGTCTCTTGCCACTTTTAGTTCTGGATATAATTTTGACCTTAAGAAAGAACAAGGCAGATATGAAAGAGGGTATTAGAGTTTATTATTGCCATAATAAAATACAGATAAAAATCAGAGTGCAGAAAGAATCTAAGACAACTATTACGCATTTGTCCTATAAAGAAAATCAAAACTGAACTTATCAGATATTCTGGCACTTAAAAGATTCATAATGAAAAAAATACTCCTAATAGCAAAGCATTTATGCAATATGTCATTGATGAGCCGACTGCTTAAACACTTAAAGAGTTTGGAGAAAGATGAAAGAAATGTTGGGGATATACTTTTTATTGGTCTGACAGAATGCTTCACTCTGTTTAAATTTATATTGAATAGCAAACCATTATGGCATTACTTACTTTTTCTTTTTTAAACAGCTAAGGGGAGCTCACTGTCCTATCCCAACGCAATATAGTTGGTGAGCAGAACAAAAGCATCCACGTAGCCTCTCAACATTGTGAAAATAAAGTGTGTGTCAGACTGTTTGCTTCAGTATTCAGTTATGAATGATGCTTTGAGTGGGAGGATTTTTTCTGCCTTTGCATTGACGGAAAGACTTTTCTGTCTAATTCCCTCCTGGATTTGAAGTCACGGGGTCGATTGTACTTAAAATTAAGCATATCTCCAAAACCTCATAGGCTGAGCCCTACCTTCTGCTCGTCTCCAATGGGAACCTTTTAGGGGACATGAAAGGGCTTGATGTGAAAAGAAATGAGCTATCAAGTGCCGCTCTTGAAGCGCCATCCGCACCTCATTGAAGTCAACAGAAAGGTGCTGAGAGCTTCAATGGGCTCTGGATCAGACACGCGGCGCGTTCGCTCTGCCACTATTTTGTATTCGCTCCTCACGGCCGGTCAAACGAAGCCACTGAATCACTATGGCAACCCTTGAACACCTCATACGAGCCATGTTCGCTAATAGATTTTTCTTCCCAGAAAGCATTCGCATTGATTTTTTCCTTTTTTTTGGTAGCTCGTGCCTATTGTCCCTTTTACCCACCATATCTCAATTTGGGGCTCATAACTTTGTTTTTTTTATTTCCAAAAGGAAGCCAAATCCTGGCATCCCAAGTCTCCGCTAGCCCCGTGCTCACATTTGCCACATTTGCCTCTGTAAGGCTCAACAGTTGGCTTCTTTTCTTCATTAGTAGCCATTAATTTACAATTAGTGGTGTGATACTCATCTGAATCCAAGGGCTACGAGGATATATGTGAAAATTTAGTATTAAGCACAGAGAAGAACGTGCAAGACAGAATGTCACTCTAGATTGATTTCATTCCCTCTGCCCTTTTATTTTTTGGAAAAACTATGCTAGCTCGTGGATGCCGGTCACGCACGTTGTGGTGTTTTATCTTCTTTGCTTTTAAGTAAAAACACAAAATAAATAAAAAGGAAATATGGATCTCGATTCAAAATGCAGGGAGAAAGGGAAAATATGTAAAAGTACAACTGAGCATTGGTGGAAAAATCACTGTCGTTTAGTAGTATTTGTGGTTCTGAGATGAATGTTTCATTTATAAGCCTCTACAGTGCTGTTTTAGAATATTTTTAGAGCAAATGGAAACCTGGAGTAATGAATTATTTCAGTAAGAGCCAGCTGCATTGGAAGGACTTTTCTGTGGCAGGGTAGGGGCACTTTTACCTTGCTTGATGGCCCGTTCTCAGTATCATCTGCAGGTCACGGTGATGGGGTATCTATCTGAGAAGGGTATTTCTGCACTGGTTTGCAGATGCGGTGATGCACTGGCTGCAGCAACAGATCTCTGCTCACTCTGGTGGGCTCTAAGACACGCAATTCACTTACAGACATCGACTTTTAAACTGCATCCCATATCTGGTAAAGATATTTCTAAATGGCTGAAAGAAAAACATACTGACAGTTATGGTAACATTCCCAACTATATGGAAATGTGTCAAAAATATCAAGCATCCTCAGTTGGCATAAGAGCCATATTTTGAATAAAAGGATTTGTACCAAAGCTTTGTACCAAGCTGCCTGCTCTGCAAAAACCTTCCTCACCAGGTGGCCTTTCCCTTTGACACGGGGCATATTTTACGGTGCTGGTCTTCTGGTTTTAGCCAGGTCTGCAAATTAGCCCTTTCTGCTGGCAGTGTGAGTGCTGGAGGATCGGAGCAGCACAGTCGTGGGCAGATTTTCTACTGCTCAGTGATGCCTAGCAAAGTGCATCCTGCGAAATGCCACTTCATTTCATGTTTCACAGTTTTAAATTCATTCTCACATCCAAAATATGGCCAAATTATTGTTGCACAAGACACCATGGCTTGTCAGGAAGGATGCTAAGTCATTCGCATAATGAGACAGAAATTGGTGCTGGCTGGGATGCTCCACAGCGCAAAGAACCAGCATGTAAGTCAAGGGGATAAGCTATTTGCCTGCCCATTTTTGACTCAATTTCAGGTTTTGGCATCAAAGGCATGCCAAATGTGGACTGTCACAGTGTGCTGCAACCACAGCCTGCAGAACAGTGTTGGATTCTGCTCTTCTATCATCTTCCCTCAAGATGTGCAAGAGACTTACACGTGCTGTATTTTTTATATCTTTTAATAAATCAGCACAAGCTGAAGAAAACAAACTCTTCTTAATGCTCTATTTGTATTCTCTCTGATCTTTGGTTACCTTTGGCTCTGTCATCTAATCATGTCCATTTTTAATGAGGCTCCCTGTAGCCACTTAGGGTAATGTAAAACAATTGACTTCAGGAGCTGATGCAGCAGTTTGAGGCCACGTCTTGATTGCT